ATAATAATAAGTATGCGCTAATCCTATACGGTAAAGGTATTATTAATATTAATATTATATACTATTTAATCTATATAATTCTTATAAACCTTATTATAAACGAATCCGTTATCCTATACTTTCGTTTAATAAAAATCTTTACTATATTTAAACTTATTATAAATATAGCCCGATTTACCCGCTTTATAAACGAAACTATTCGAAAAGGATATTACTATAATTAAAAACTTATTTTAATTTCCCACGCTAAGAAATATAAAACTACCGTTATAATAATTATTATAATCGGAAGCTATTTTTATAATACTAAGTTTAGTTAGGCTAATTTTTATTATATAACTATGGTCGAGCTAAACGTTTAGATTATAAATAACGTATTTTTTAATAACGTTATTATTTTATTTTCGTATATTATTAACGAAATAACCGAGGTTTTAGAAAATACTATAATAAAAAAGGCTATAAGTAAAGATTTAAGTTAAGTTTTTTAATAAATTTATTTAAAACTTTATACGTAGTAAATATTAAAATAAAATAAAATAGGAGTTATTTTCGTATTTAGGAGTAATATTTTTAAAAAGAATAGATTAATACACGTATATTTACTTTTCTTTACGTTTTTTATAAAACTACGTGCTTATTATTATATTACTATATTAATTTTTTTATATATTTATTTACCCTATACGTTAAACTTTACCTTATAATAAGGCTCTTTAATATATAATTTTTATAATAATATAAACTATCGTACTTATAAAGATTTCGCGATCGAAATTAATTTCTACATAACGGTAATTATTATAATTTATAACTAAATTTCTTATTTTTCATATATAATTACTTTAAAAAAAAAGGGCTGCGAAGTTTTTAAGATTTCCTAAAGATTTCTTTTAAAAAAAACGCTTAAAAAAGCTTAAAATTTCCTTAAAATTTCCCTAAAAATTTTTTAAAAAAAATCGTAAAAAAATCCCTAAGATTTCTTCCGTTTTTTTTAAAAAAAATCATAAGGAAATCCTTAAGATTTCTTAAAAGTTTTTTTTAGAACTTTTATAATATATTTAAGAGATTTCGTTAGGAAATCTATAGGAAAATTTTAGAGAGAGGTATTAATATATTATTTTATTTTTACCGTACAAAAGCGCTTAATATTAAGTTTATATAATAATATATAAAAAAATACGTTAATAAATTAAAAATTAATAAATTAATTTTAAAAAAAGAGATAACGAATATTTTTTTCGCTATAATATTAAAATAAAACGATTAAGCGACAAATTAAATTATAAAAAACTTAAACCTTTCGAAATTATTAAAAAAGTTTTATTAATTAATTTTAAATTAAAACTTTTAGATACGATATAATATTATTTAGTTTTTTATATTTTACTCCTAAAGCTAATATTTAGAGGTTTATATATTAAAAATCGTATTATTATCAAACTTAACGAATTAAAATATAAGATTAAGCGAATTATTAATTATTAAATTAAGGAAGGATAAGAAGAATATTTTATTAAATAAAAAGATTACGGATACGAGAATAATATATAAAAACCTATTATAAACTTTTAAAACTCTTAATAGTTTTTTAAAAAGTATTAAAATTAAATTTAAATTTAGAACTTTTAGTTATTACGGCGTCTTAATTAATAATATTAAAAATATTATTAACTTACGCCTTTTAAATTATTAAAAAAATACTTTTAGTATTTTTAAGAAATTTTTTTAATACGATACGACTCTTTTTAAATACTATTCGTTTTTAAAAATAAAAGCGTTTTAATTTAAATAACGATTTATTTAATTTAATTTAAGCCTTTTAATAAGCCTTAGCTTTTTTTTATAACTTTATAATTCTTTTTTAAAACCGCGACTTTTCTATTTATTTTTTATAATTAAAGCGATTAAATTTTATTATTAAACGATTTATTATATTTATTAATCAGGACCCGTAAGAAATTATCTACGGAATTTATAAATATAAATAATATTAATAAAAATATCGTACGAAATACTTAAGTAATAATATATCCCGTAAATATTAAAATTAAAAAAAATTAAATAATAAACGCCCCGAGAATAATAATTCGAATATAATATTATTTTTATATTTTTATTAAAAAAGCGAATAATACGTAATAAACGGCGACGAGACGTAACTATTTATAATTTCGATTTTTTAATTCGACTTAATATAACGTTAACGTATTTTAATAAAAATATTTAACAATTCTTTAATTTAAGAATAAATAACTTATTTATAAGCCTAGGGACTAGACTTTTAAAAAAAAGAGTTAATATTACGATTTAATATATATTATTAAATTAAGGCCTTACCTTATAAAACCTACGGCGGTTACTATATTATATATATAATAATAATAGCTCTTTTTAAAATAAAAAAATTATAAATAAGTTATATAATTATAATTATATAATAAAATAAAAAACGGACGCTTACAAATAAATAAAACGAGCGATTATAAAAATATAAAACGAACGACTATTTAATAAACTATTAAATAATAAATAAATAAAATATTATAAAAAATATATTTATAACTAAGACTTATATATAAAATAGCCCGAGCTAGGCTTAAGGATAGATTTTTATAACTTTTTTAATAATTAATTTTTATATTAAATCTAACGATCGCTTTTAGTTATTTTTATTAAAAAACTTATTAATAAAACTATGACTAATTACCGAAGCCTTTCTATTTAACGATTTATAAATAATAACTTCTTTAAAATTATTTTAACGACGACTATTGTTTATAAGTATCGTAGCCCCGACTTTTGTTAACACAACCTCACTACGACTAGCTGGCCGTAACAAGATGGCCCCTGCGCTGGCGCTGACTCGAGGTCGAATTGGGCTTCCAATCCGACATATATACACCTGACCTCAATCGTCTGCACAGCGTCAAATTAAACCTCGGCTTCGGTGCGGTAAATGTTCGTCTTACGCAAACAAGAGACAAAGTGAATTCGCATCGATGGCGTTTATTCTCGCCAAAACGACGCCGTTAATTGCGGGCAGCAATGAACGCCATATACACCATTGTAACATCTACCTATCGATTAAGGTCTTTCATCCTGCGATTTTGCAGTTGTATTCCAGCAGCTGGGTCCTCCCCGTCCATCCCCTCCATGAAGGACATGGTTACTTTCTTTCGCTGGAATTTGTAAAGGCTGAGATAGTCCAAGCGAACCGAGTGGCAATGTAGCTGGATGAATGTCCTCTATTCAGTCTTCGCCGTATTCGTCACGTACCTTCTTTCTGCGACGGTAACTATACCTTGAATTACCCGACCTCACCGTAGTAGTATCAAGTATCTTGAAAATCACATCTATGAGGTACAATTTTGACTCTTGTTCTCAGACGTTCCTTCCCTGATCATAACGACCCTAAACCTCCACTCCCATTCCATCATCGGCGTATTTCTATCGATATCCTTATCAAAGTCAACAATATGCGTAGAGAAGCACCGCGGCTTAGAGTCATCATCCCTCCTGACAGTATCAGCGAACTATGAACACCACCTCAGCCTTGGATGCGCCTCATTAATCTCTCTGCGCGTCAAACTGTGAATCATCCTCTCAAATTTCACGACACGGGGTTCGGTCGACATTGTTGTACAGCATCGCTAGCTAGATCAGCTGGCCGATGTAAGTGATGCTCCCGTCTACACTCATCTCCTTGTGCCGGACGATGGCGTCGGCGACTTCCTCGGCTTGGTCCGTGGTCGCGCCGTGGTTCTGAGGGCCTGCAGGGCCTTGAAGCCGCTGTAGATGTTAAAAGGCATGCGGGTCCCAGTCAGGTTCTCCTCTGTAGGCCGAAGTCGAGGAGAAGACAGGTTAGTGCCCAGGCTCAGGGGGAGAGGGCGGCTGCTTGTTCGGAGAGTTATTTTCATGGTATTTCCATGCCTGGATTATCGCCAGGCCTCACGTTTTGCATTGGCAGCGGCTCAAAAACGCCTCTATAGAGAGTTGATTCATGTCGATGGAACTGAAGCCTTTGATCATTAGCTATCAGCCATTCATTCACACTTATCGCAGGATGTATCAGGTTGAAGGGGCTTTGTGATCGAAGAAGTCAAGGCTAGGTTTTATACTCGAGCTGAACCAATGTTTCAGAAACTTCACGTCACAACTCGGGACCCGTAACCGGATCGGAGTCGGTCGTCACCATGGGAAGACTAAGGCCAGTAGATTTCATCTCTGGGCGACCAATAATAGTCACATCTACCGGTCCTCCGACCGCAGGCCGCCGCTAGATGTTGCTCAGATATTTGGAGTCTCTTGCCTCTCTCTCAGTCACAGCCTGCGTGCGAAAGAGCACTCAATCATGGAGCAGAACAGAAGTCGGACCCATGCAGTCGTGAAATGATGTTGAAGAGTTCCCCCGTTCATGCAGGTTGACTTCTGGATTGGCATGCGGGCAAAAGAGGTTAGTTGTCGCCGGGTTCATGATATCGTGGTGAGGCTAGGCGAAAATCACCGGCTGTGATGAATCTAGGAATTTAGTCCTGATAAGGTTATTTACTGATTTCACGTTGAACTCGGCCACGGCAATGAGATTACGCATCGCTCATCGTTTTTCTATGGGCTCTCGTCAGGGACGCCTGTCGGTGGAGCAGCTCTCGAGGCAGGTAACAGCGATTATTTGCATGAGGGGTATCAGCGGGCTTCTCGATGTAGATGTATCCTTCACGTGAAAGCAGACTTGATCAACATTCGGTCACATAGGTTATTGCTTAGGAGCAGGCGAAGGAGTTTGGTGGTGCTCAAAATATACATTCCAATGCCTCTTAATCGATAGTGCGCTTGGGTCAATATGCGGGTGATGAGAAACGCAGAGGCTGAACTCCACGTGCATGAAGTGAATTGAAAGCATTATCCGCAGTCAAGCAGCAGAAGGAACGGCAGCGAATAAACATAAATGTCAAACCAGATAACTCAACGACCATCGCAACGACCAGGCATGACCGCCTTCACATCTTGCCCTTGCCCTTGCCCCGAGTCTCCAACATTGGAAACTCCTCCTCCTCATGCTGGATACCCAGACCCGAGAAATCGCCGGCACCATTTTCCTGCAGACTGAGCTGCAAGGCCAGCTCTAAATCGTCGTCTCGTGGCGCAACTTGACTGCCCGACCCAGCGCTACTAAGTAAGAGAGCTAACTCAAGGTCATCGTCCCTAGGCTTGGCTTTGCTGGAAGAACCTGCTTTGGCGCCGGCGACTGGCTTGTAGCTTGCCGGAGGAGACATGGAAGGTGTTCTCTTTGTTGTCTTCTTCGCCGGTTTCGACTTGTACTTGATGGCAAATTCGAAATCACTGGAGCTGTTCTTGCGGGGTGATTGAGCCACATCATTGGTAGCCTCCATCAAAGAAAGCCGAAGGGCTTGTTGTAGTTGCTGTTCGTACTCATCTCCTTCCTCAACGACAGGTGGGGGCGGGGTGAAGCCAGTAATGCTGGGTTCTGGTGTGACTGTGTCCACCGTGCTTTCGCTGAAGGATGACACCGTATCGAAGTTGGCATCAGCGGTGGAACCAGTGTCGCTGGCGCTGGTACGACGTTGCTCCTCGAGCAAGAGTGTTTCTTGAGAGATCATCTCCGCATACTGGAGAGCCTCCTCTTCGGTCAAATCGCCAAAGGCGCCAACGCCAAACCTATTGCGCAACCAGGCTTCTTCCCGCGTGTCCTGCTCCTCCTCACGCCGAAGTTCTGCAGTCTCTGCGGCAATATATCCTGAAACATTTCCACCCTGGCGTCGAGTGGCAAGACGGCCGTGGACATCAGCGTGCCGGAGGCGACGCTTACGGCCGGGCGCTTGGCTTGTAGCGCTATAAGCCCAGTAACGCAGGAAAGCACCGAAAGACGTGATGCCGCGCAGCACAGTAGGATCAGGATCGAGGTAAATGGCTCGAGCAGCTGAATAGGTGTCGATCGGAAGTGCGGGATTCATTGTCATCATGTGACGCGGTACTCGCCCGTTTGAACGTCCATTCAGAGTACGGAGAGGCTCGAGCGAAGATGCCAGCGGGTCCCATGCTTGTACTAAGCCATCATTTCCGCCGTGAACCAGGTACAAAGCCGTTAAAGCCAAGCAACTGATCTCGGGCGACTCTGTGTGAATGATGCGAAGAGGAGAGATTTCGACAAGGCCGCGTTGCTCACGACAATTCCAGACAATGACAGACCCGTCCTTGGTGCCTACAGCTAGCATGCGAGTTCGCCGACCAGGGACCTCAGTCACAGACTCGGCCGTCTGTGGTGTCATCGTAGGAGTGGCAGCTGATCTGGAGCCAAATTGCAGAGGGTCTTCTGTCAGCGTAAGAAGGGCATGCGACGATAAATCAAGAGCCGACGCAGTGATCTCTGAGTTTCCGTGGTTGCCAAGTGACATCGTAGCAACAGCCCATTCATCCATGGAATTGAGCATTGCCTGAGGCGTCATCGAGCCCGACGAAATGGGTGTAACATCGCCCTTCGCCACAGTCTTGGCGGCCTTATACTGAGACTCCTGCACATGGTCTCTGCCCGATCCAAAGATGGACTGCTGCACTTGTGGGACATCCTGCTGGAGTGAAGCAGTAATTCCCTTGCTGTCTGAGGTCTGTCGCGGCGTTTGGGACATGGCTCGGACATAGCGAGTAAGGCTTGGGGGATGCGCCTCATCGAGCCCGCATTGGATAGAGACAATGACCTCCCCAGCCCCGCCAGCGTCATCATTTGCGAAATCGACCTCCAGTATTCTCCGCATATCCCAGCCATCGCAGACCTTCCGGAAATGTGATGGTTTGTATCGCAGGAACTTTTCGATCTCATGGGCTTCCGCAACAAGCTGCTCCTTGCTCAGATTCATGGCGTCTGCAGGAGACCGAGGAGAATAAGCCCCCCGCAAAGCATGCTTGTCAAACTCATCAGGACGAGCCTGACGACGGGAGTCGTCGATGAGCCGCCAGTAAACTGAGCGTCCAGCAAACCAAGCGTTCTTGGTGACGTCTTCGCCTTTGGATCGCTCCAAGGTCGTCTTTGGTACGTCGACCAGGTAGAATATCTCGCCCAAGGCGTTGAGCGCAACAGCCCACACACGCTGTGCAGTTTTGCGCTTCTGGGTATACTGGTCGTCGACTTTGATCGAGACGATGGGAACGCCTGGGCTGAGCACCCACCGAGCAGTCATCTCACCGTTGGGATGCCGGGGCCCGCTCCCGTCTCCGTGCAGCGCATACGTCGTGACGATACCGAGCGTAGAGCCAGTGATGATACCAACCGTGGAATGCGTAATGTTAGGAACAGCAGTGGATTTGGCGATCCAAACGGCTGAGATCGCTTCTGATAGTTCAGGGATCTTGGGAATGTCTGGGTAGGTGTCGATCACGCCAGTGTCGCTACCAAGATACCGGCCATGCAATTCATTGATCGGGCGGTAGTAGGCACGGCCGCCTGGAAAACCTTCTCCGGAGAGCATGCCGTAAGGCTGGCTAACATCCATGACATTCGGGCACGCAGCAGGTCCATCACCGAGACCGTATGGTTCAAGATTGGGGAACACCTCGTCCAGCTGAAGAATAGTGAAAGGGTCTCTGAAACCCCATTTCTCCACCTTGCCAATGAAAGAATCACTCAGAGTTGCAGCACCTAGGTCGGCAGCACCGTGAATGACTCTGGGAGATTTCTTGACAGTGAAATCGGCGTGGACGTGGGTCACAGCCCAAGGCAACTTTGAGTTGTAGGTCAAGACAGCACTAGTCTTCTTGCTGCTTCGACCAGACGCTCCAACCCCGCCGGGTTTTGTGCCCGGTTTACCTCTGATGAGGCCCCTTAGGAGACGAGTACGAAGTAGATATTCGCTTCTCCACGTCGCAAGGGAAGTCAAGCGAGAAAAGTAGCGAGTCTCTGAACGGACGAATTCGGAAGAATCATGGTCCAAGGCCCCTGCGCGACTCTGCTCAATCGACTTTGTAGTCAGGCTAACGTGGCCCGGAAAGAATCGTAGAAAGGCCATTCGCCATGCATGAGGAGTCGTGACGAGCGAGTAGAAACGCTTCGAAACGAGAGCTATGGCCGAATGAGAATCGGGATGCAGGTGAGATAGAATATGGGTCAAGAGCTCTACAACAAACACGTCAGCGAGTATCAAGATTGTGTTTGTTTCCTCTGTTGCATTTGACATACCATTGGGGAAGTCTGTCAACTGCACGCTGTCGGGTCGATGATTAGATCGTTTGATGACCTTGAAGCCCAAGGCTTGACGAGGAGTCGACGGGGTTTGCGCGTTTTCGTAGTCAATCACTCGCTGACCAGCGACAGCTGAATGACCTTCGGCAGACACTGAATCATGAACACTCAGCCTGCGAAGCTTCTCGTCAAGCTGAGCAGCGCTGACGGCATCGGATGAGTCACGGCGACCTCCGTCTGGAACAGATCTTGGGGATGCACTGCCAGTCTCTTCTCGACGAAGAACAGCGACGCCGTTGGGCTGTTGGCGCGAACAAAAGCCATGCTGAACTGAGGTAGTGGTGTCCGAGGGGTTGTCTTGTTGATGTTGCGTTTCTGAAGACTCTGTCGACCAATGTTGCATAAAGCTGTGGAGCGGGAGGTCGTGGGCAGGTGGCGGGCGACTGTGCAAGGACGATGTGCACAGTCTTTGGAGATGGAGATGCTATGTTCGAAAGAACAAATTTGCGCGGAATGCGGGAGGTTTGCGAATCGATTGCTGCTTGAGGGTGGGATAACGTGTTTAATTCGTGTACGTTGCTTAAGTGAAGCTTTTCGCGGTCGCGTTTCGTGACGAAGTGACCTACGGTTCCGGGCACGGGAGATTGCGGGCGATGGAACATCCCCGGGCCGGCGCTTATCAGTGGCGGGGGAGTAGTGGTTTTCTTATCGGAATCACTTCAATGCCGTCATCAACACCATCACGAGCGCATTTTGTAAGTCAGGTCCACTTCAAAAATTACACAACCAGATTACCATTTACTTGGTTGAGCTTCCAGGCTAATTGCACATGCGTGCATATGTCTTTTTCTGTATAGTTAAATCTTTTTTATAGACACCATTCACAAATGCATTCGCCGCTGCCTTCGTTGCAGCAATCGTCGTCTCAAGGAGGCTTTCCCCACCAATTGGCCTCAGCAAGTAGAGGAAAAAGGAAAGCAAAAAGTTGACGACAGCCCGGCACGCTATAAGCGTAGTCACTCGCTCAACCAACCACACGTCCCTTACCAACAAAGCAATTCAATGGAGCAACAAAATGAGACATCGCCCAATAGAGAGACCTATTATGGACTACGGCAAAAGATGAAGATGCGGCCAGTGTGGATTGAACACACGACCTTCAGATTAAGTGATTGAAGTTGACTTCAGTCTGACGCTCTCCCAACTGAGCTATGTCCGCCACGATCTTCGAATTGCGATGCCAGAACAGAGGGCTCAACCGGAAGAAGACCCCATGGGAATGGGGAGCAATCTCGGAGCGCTCTAGTGAAGTGGATCCTCGAGACTTTGCCCTTTCGAGTATTGGGCATGACAAGCAGCCGTTGGGTTTCACCATATCGTGGTGGCAGTCAACTGCACTTGAGGCAGATGGAAGTACACCGAGTACCTAGTAGGCGGCATCAATAAGAGGGCGATCAACCAGAAAGAGGGGGAAAGGGGGTGGCTGAATGTTGGCTCTCGTCAGCAACTCCCTCCCTCAGCTACTTCCAACTCCCGGCCATCCAGATCCCCCAAGCTTTCCGAGAAGAATTTGATGCGCGAGTGCGGCAGATTTGACAGGTTTGACAGTCTGCTTGACATTGCCGAGACAAGGGATGGTACTAACGGCTGACAGCATCCTGACAGATTCTCGTCAGCAAGTTCGCAACCAACGAGACCACATTAGCGGTGTCAATCAGGGCCCGCCGCGTTGGTAAGGATGGCATTTAATATCCGCCTCATCCTGCTGACCTGCTCTCTCGTTTGTCCCGGTCCACTCAGGAACCGGGCCCTCTTCTTCTTGAAACAATTTCAACGTTACGACGTTGCTCGACCGATTTTCTTCCCTGTCCCTACCTTAGTATTGATGGGACTAGTAGACAGAGTATCGGGCTCCGGAGCGTGAACCATCCATGGCACCACCCGAGCGGCCGACGGTCAGCCTGAACCGTCACAGCCACCGACCACCGCCGCCCGATATGGCATCATGAACTTCCGGCGCCCCTCCAAAGACGGACCTGTTCCGATCCCAGTACCTCGGTTCAGCCTCGTATCTACCCAAAGGGGCCTGCGAGACCCCTATTTGCTTTCCCGCCTGCCGCGGCACCAGCACCTTCTAGTCAAAGAGTCGCGCCCAGCGACCTCGATCCCCAAGCACAGAGGCGTCCGTCTCTGCGCACCGCCATCGCCTACCATCAATCACCATCTTGACGAGGGGAGAGCACAGAGAGACAGACAGACAGACGCCTTACACCCCTAGCTCCCAAATCTTGGACCGACTCATCATGCTGTTGCAATTCCGCACCACATGAGTCGCGCGACCAAGGCAGAGGAATCTGGTAATCTCAACCCGGTTACCAACACATAAGACCCTGGGTGCTGGGCCGCGTAACGGTGCCATGTCCCCCCTCCCATTTCCCCTTCTCTCTCTTTGCACCCCATGGCCCCCCTTGGCACCTCCAAATCTCCATCCTCGGTGAAGCCCTATGAAGAACGAGTGGAAACCCCTCCCTGGAACCTGTGCATCCGGATGTCAAGGGTCCTCCTCTTCACAAACACTCTCTCTCTCTTGCGCTCTTGACTCTCGTAGGTACGGCTACTCCTTGACTCCGTACATAAGCGCGGATAGTATACCGGCGACTCCCATTGGCATTGGGGTGGTTCGGTTCCGTTCTTCGCGCTCCAGCCGTCGCTATAGCCCACGGGCGGCACAGTAGGGGCGTACTTGAATCTACCGGGCCCCATTTGATACGACTGGCAGTGTTGTGCCTCGGCGACTTCACCCAGACGAACCCATTGCTTCAAAGGCTCTCGATCATCAGATCATGGCATCTCGGGCAAGTTCTCCTCCACCCGAGTCAGGACTTGTCACTGATCCTGCGATTCCCAGATTTTCTCAATGATCTCTCATCTATCATAAAGACCGTGCCCAATAGCGCACTGACTGACGGACTGACTGAGCACACACAGTCACGCACTTACAGTACACACACAGACACACAAGATTAAGAATTCCCGATTTTCGGGGGCCGGCTCCGAACCAAAGAGTCGAACATCCTCCAACGCATGGGTGCCCAGAACGAATCCTAGGGTAGCATATCCACCTCCAAATCCACCTTCATCAAAACCACCGAGTCAATTTGTGAGAGACAAGGCCACCTCACTCTGCTGAGAGTGACGTAGGTCTCCGCACAGTCGCCCATTCCCTTGGGCCGCGCATGGACGGAGAGCACACAGAAAGGCAATTCTTGCGGCCAAGAGGGTCTCCATTATATGCGCGGATGCGGATGGAGCCCACCACGAACAACACCACAGGGCCCCATCACCAAGCTACTTGCTCCTCCCCCCCCCCCCCCCGACTTGTCACACTCCGCGCTCCTCGCATAATAAGCCCTGGGGCTCTACGGTAAGAAGGCTGAACAGTACCGCGGGTAGAAAAGTTCCAAGATAAAAAAAAATGGGTAATGAGAGCATTTTTCGGCCTTGTCGGCACACATACACTTCTGGACGTCCTCCCCTTTTGATTTATACGGTACGGGACCCAGACGGACCCACTCTTGCCCGTATGTTTCCTTTTCTCTTCCAGGCCTAGCGTTCTTGGGGCCCGGCCACCGGGCCTGTCAAAACGGCTGTCAAAAAAAAGTCAAAATGGTTGTCATCTAAGAAACTTCCCGATACGCCCAGAGTTCTGCGACTTTGCTAGTGTAAACCCAGGATCCAGGAACTCCCTCTCCTGAGTGTCCCGGATTAGCAGAGTCTTGAGAGAAGGAATCATGAGCGGAACAAGGGCTGAATGAACCTTTTGTTCCTTCTGGGAAATATTTCTGGATGGCGCGGGCAAAACACCATGCCAAGCCCTTTCATCAAGTCCAAAGGCATACGCCATGGACTCGAGCCATCCCCCCCCAAACCCTAAACTCCTAGCAAGTTGTCTAGTGTAGATTTCATCCCAGGACAGGCATTCGAGATGAGCTCTCTGCCGCCGATGCAGTAGTCCCTTCTGTTCCCTCACATCATCTACCACGGCCACCGCAGCACTCCGTGGTCCCGCGGTCCGCTGTCCCGGCCGAGAGCATGGCAGGCTTCAGACCCCCTCTCCCCGGCTCAACAGGACTTCATCCGAAGTTTCCCAGACTCAGCCTGCAGGGGCTCTTCCGAAGGGAGTCCCTGTCAACTCCTGCAGTCTGTACAGAGGGTTACCGCCACAGCAAATGCAAAGAGCAGACAACTCAACAACGTTCATCAGTAGTTGACAACTCCTCCGTCAAGTTTTTTTGTCGACCAGGACCCAGAATCAACAAAGGATACAGCGACCTGATGCAAGTGTACCGGTACCTAACAATCTTTCGAAATCCGGACCCCTGGTCCGGCGCCGCGGGCCCTCCCGCTCGCCTCTCGCGCCCAGCGGCCCAGGCAAGTTCCCATCCAAACTGGCCTGGGAAACCCCATTGAGTCTCAAATCGTCATATTCGCCGCCCGTCGGTCCAATGGTGCCCAACGTCGCGGCCCCATCGGAAAAAAAGGCAAAAAGAAATAGAAAAAAAGAGACAATGCTGGGAAGATCTTCTTCTCATCATTTCGGAAAGGGATCAGACATGGAAGGAAAACAAGAATTCGGCCAATTTTGTCCTCGATCGTCGATATCCCCCTCCCCCAGGGTCGCATACACGCAACGTGTGATGGCGCAGGCATCATCACATAGTCATCTAAAGATGATTTTGAACGACCCAATGTGGACCTCTGCCGCGGCTCTACGGCGCATCTACCGACTTGGGCACGACGACGTGGACAGTGCAAACAAACCCATCCCATCCCCATTCAACCTGGCAACTCCCCGAACTCCTGTCCTTTTCGGGGCCTTGCGGGACTCATCAACCGCCGCTGACCTGCCCCCTTTGGCACAGGCCGTTGACCCCCGGTGGAGCCACAGCGCTCTTGGCAAAGAAAATGCATGTCACGGCTGCGGCTTCAGCGAGGACTATGAAACGGTTCTTTGCTGGAGTGGTCGAACAGGCCGCCGGGGGGGAGGGGCTGAACAAGCCAACAAGACCAATTCCAATTGGCCCTCTTCCCACCCTGGCCTTGCTACGGAGCAAAAGCCGTCGTTGCCTCATTGGCCGACAAGGACTTGCCCGACTCGGCGTTGCCAGCCCGTCTCGAATTCCGCGTTCCTCCCATTGGCGCGCTCTCTCTCTCATACCTGTCGTAAATCTTACAGCGAGATATCGTCCGTGTGTCGTACGCCTCTGCCACCTGGGCAGAAAAAGTTTACCTACCTGGGGAACTGACCTACCCAAGGTGTGCCAATTTCTCTTCGGACACAATGCCGATGGGAACAACCCCAGGCTATCGGCGTTGAGATATGCTTTTGCAAGATGAATCGGTCCTTTACATGGATAGCACATGTCGAGTATTGAGGAGGTAGCAGTAGCGAGAATACCCCGGCACTTTGACCTCAGTCATCGATTAGACGGTCAAAGTGTCCTCGCGGCAGCTGTAGTAATGCCTCCATCACCAGCTCGCGAAGATGAGGTTATTGCGTATCGTCGTCTACGTGAAGCGGCTTAAAAAAGCAGTCGTGTCCAGAGGGTATATTCGCAGCACCGTACGCTGTTCGCGTGGCTGCTGTCTTTCAGCGGCGTCCGCGGCAGTGCGGTTTGACATATTCAACCTCGACCTTTGCTATCTCGTCACAGCTATCGCAGCTTCCCTACTGTGGTCGACGCCGAAATCTGAATGGTTAAGGATCCCCATGCTCTTCCATTAGGGACTTGATTCTCGTCGTATCTGCACGTGTGTTCGTTCGTACGGGCATTATCGAAGCTGGATGGTGCCTCTAGAACAAGGTGGCAGACGATGCTAAGATGGTTCACGCGTATCAGTCATGATAGCCAGAGATAGTCGATTAACCTGGATAGCGAAGGGGTTGCAGTGACGATTATCAATCCTGGTCTTGATAGCAGTGAAGGTGCCCGGCGAACTGTTACCAAGTCATTCAGTGTGCAGCGCTGAAACTGCGTTTGCGTTTGCGAGAATCCCGACTTTTGATTGACAAATGCGCAACCTTGTAGATTACCTATGTTTCGGTTGGCACCGGGAATGAGGTGTGTAGTGCACGAGCAGCAATCGCGAGATGAAGGTCGGGCGATCGAAAAAACCCGTCGCATGCTTCACTCCGACGACGACCCGCATCGGCAACTTTGCCATCGTCAATTTCCGCGGCCAAGAGAAAAAATGATGAAAATATGGCATGATCCGATAGCGAAACTCGGCAGCCGAAGCTTCTCTCTTCAAAGTGGTAGACGGAACGGTGAACCCAAAAGCCATCAGTTTCAGGAAAGTTGATGGTTTCCCTTCCCTGGTGCCCGTTTCACTGGCAATATTAATCCACAATTTTCCGAGGTGCCCGCCATCGACTGCCAGCTCTCCAACGTGTTCGATATACGAACCTCGCAGGGGGGCTCACATCGCGGCCGCCGAAGCTTCACCGTGTACGTAGTAGAGTTATCCAGTATCGCGGGGGAGAGGGAGTCCGAAGGGATGGGGCAAGCACCTTGCCAAGCCCATGGGAGTTTATCAAGCTTTTTATATCAATCAGCCCCCAAATACACAGCCACGATGGCTAGATTGACTTACAATGGTACACTGATGCGCGGTCGCTATCAAAGAAACCACAACTCTAATAGAGTTGGGATGCGTAAAAACTCTAAGCACAATCGTCTAGACCCTTGCAAGCCACGCAGTCAGTCGATAGCATGCATCTGGTACGGATAGTTGAAGTTTGAACGCCCCCCTCAAAGTCGAGAAAGTCGAGCCGGAGCAGCCTTCGGATCCGGACTCGCGGAATCGCGGGGGCTACTTGCCGTCCGACTTACCTAGGTTCAAGGCCCAGCGACGATGACAATCTAAATCGGCCCCCGGGAACAGCAGATGAGAAATACAAAGCCTCAGAACTGGCTCTCACCCAGCAGTGGCCACGGTAATGATCGTCAACAAGGGAGAAAGGGATGGGGTATAGGTAGTTTTGGGGGCAGCCCTCCTTGACCGACCGGCGTCGGCTTACAAGTCGGGAGAGTCGCGCGAACCGGGCCGGCGCAAGGACAAGGACCCCGGGGACGACCTCCATTCAAAAAATCGGCAAGCGTACTACGCGCCTCGTGCCGCCCATCTTTTTGCTTTCTTCTTCTGCTCACGCGATGACCTTGGTAATTGGGAAACGACGAGAAGATCAACGGTAAATCAACTGGTGGCAAAACCCCGATACTATCATCCCGTGGTAAGGTAAAGAGGCAGAAGCAAATTCCGTAACGGTTCATCGTATGGGACTCGGCAGAAGAAGGAGGGGGGCACAAGGGGGAAAAACGAGTACACAGTAGAGATGACGCTTCGTTTCGGCCCGTTCGACAGGCACCGGGGAGGCTCAGAGCTTCCAGAAGAAACGGTGGTCAGACGAAATCCGTGCAATAAGTTAACAATACGGCGGAGTACAGTAGTCGTCGCTAGAAGAGACGCCCACGTGCAAAATGTTGTGAGAAAGGCATTTGCGTATACCACGGGTGGATTTTGCGGACATCGTTGCTGGTTGTACCCTCCATCCTTTGTCAGTAGTAATCTCGTTGCGGACGGGTAGGAGAGAATGCTCCCCAGGTCAATCTTGGTTTGCAGGTCATGGGAGACGCTCAAAGAGAGAAACATTGACATGGCTTGGGACCGTGGGAGCTTCCAATGGAGCAAAACCAACGCACCCAAGCCCATCACAGCCACGCGGAGGATGTCACCAATGCAACGAAGCCGCATCCCAAAGTGGAGGCATGGAGAGGTCCTATGACGGACACCCCCCGACGCCAATCACTACCGGAGACTAGCCGCCGTGCCGCCGCACCGAAACCGTTGAGGGCGGCGCACCGTATGCTTGGGAATTAGGTTTGACGAGTGGCGTAGACTGGTGTGATGATCCGGAAATAACAGCGGGCGGGCGCGAGACCGCCGCAGATTTGCGAGATCTGTCCATGCCAGACACTGGTAGCGGCTAACGAGACTGGCGGCTTGGGGAGCTGTCGATACGCCGGCGGCCTGGTTCGGCGTATCCGTAGTCTGCGACCCTGAAACGCAGGAGGCAACGGCGTTTTTGCCCCGCCGAGGTTGCAAGGCTACGTATGTTGTTGATACGTTCCGTCTGCTATTCTGTGGCATTCGGAATGAAGGAATCAGCTACCTGTGAGTTGCGGTCCAGCCTCAAAGTCTGATGGGTGGGACGGTTTTACTTTCCTCCAAGTCCGGCTCATCATTCTTTGTTGTTATTATTGTCGTGGTTCCTTGAACCTATTGGTCTCCCTTGATTTGAGCTGAGCTGAGCTTCGCAACAAGAAGTTTGCAGCTGACTGAAGGATCTTCTCTGAATCGAGTTGTTGGTTGTGGCAATGGAATCGTAAGAGACATAGCCGCTGGTCACGTAAAGTAGCCAATTGGGGAATCGCGAGGGTTAGGTGGATATGCACTGCAAGTCTGGGCACCCTATCGAGGATTAAGCTCCCGTTTGGGGGGCAATTCCCTCCCATGCCCTGGTTCTAAGAATCCTTCGTTCAAGGTGATTGAACCTTCCAAGACAATGGTTCAACCGCTGATTGGCTTTGGACAGGCGATGAGGGAGGAAACAGATCTTCTCTCTTTCGTGACAGAGAGTTTGGGGAGGCACCGAAGACCCCCATTGGCAGATCTGGGAGATAAGCTTGGAAACCGAGTGATAGAGCGAACAAAGCCTCTGCCGTCAGCATCGTTAACCACCTGGCTGGGCTCTAGGTTGAACCCTGCACAGTGGCCACTGCAGTCCACGACAGCAAAAGGTACCATAGTAGGCAGAACGCATCCAACACCTATCGATCCAAATCCTATCCAAAATGGCTGGTCGTTATGGCCCAGCCTTTGCCGTACCGCTGCCATCTGATATCAGGAGTTTCCATTGACAGCTATGATACCTGTACCTTAAGGCGAAGAAACGACTCGGGGTTTCAGATGCCTACTTTGGCCCTTCAACATGGCCGACAACATCAACTCGACTTGTTTTGTCATGGCGTCGAAAACTTGCTCCGCAATTAGAGAAACGGGTCCAGCAGGCAATCAACACAACGGAACGTCGATCCAGGCTAATCGCTCCGTGGCGCTACTCGAACCCGCAGACTCTATTAGTTGGCGGCTATGATCTGCCGCCAAAGGTGCTCCTTTTGATGCGACCAATGCGATGGTCTATTTCCTGACCCTTCCCTTTTGGCGCAAGGACACAGGAGTCGGAGTCCATGAAGTCCTAACCGATTCAATCAGCAACGCACAAAGAGGGGAAGCGGCCGCTGTGCAGAACAATAGAAAATTCTTCCTGGTCGATACATGAGTGGGCATCCACACGAAAGGGTCAAGGAGATGTAGCCGCTGCAAGTCATTCGAGTCGTGCGTGACATGACGACACAGAATTGAGCTGTTGAGTGTCGCTATCTGTTAGATTTGTCCAAGGTTGTCCTTCCGCGGGACCCGCACCATGCAGAGAGAACCATTTCCAGTAAAGCTCGGAGCCGAAATTGAGGCCAGTTGCATCGATGTTGTGGCATTCGAGCGGGGCTAAGGGAACTTCTTGAGTGCTTGGGACCGCTAACGCTAGGGGGTTGTCCCTCGGTTGGCAGAACTTCCATAGCGTTGCTGAAGATTTCATCGACCCGACTGGCCAACTGGGTTTATTTTCTTTGGAGGGTATCATCGCCGTGATCGCCAACTCCGGCGGGCGGCGGGTCATATGCGGCTGCTATGCGGTTGGTTCTAACAGTCACTGCTCGTTGGCCAGAACGATCCCACGTTGCTTCCATTTACCCTGAGTCGGGGGCTGGTCGATGCACATGACGAGAACACCTGTTTGTGCCTAATCCAAGCAAGGCTTTTCGAGCGTCCTGGTCTGCAAAGATGTTTGCACCAATGGTTGCCCGCCTGCAGCGTCGGCGATACGCTTGATTGGATACAACCAGGTAGGCGGCAATATTGTCCGCCAGGACGTGTCATTCCTCACCTGCTACTGACAGACATCGTTGCAGCCGGTCTGCATCTTGACTTTTGCCTCGCAGTCCGCATTGGGAACAGAGGGAGCTGATACTCCCGAGTCGTACCATAGTCGAGCCCTCGCCCCTTTGCCTGGCTAAGGCGGAACTGGGAAGTGATAGCTCGTAACCTGTCAGTTACTGTCGGCCGAGTGGATATGCTTGAGTCGTCCGCCGAGGCGATGGGCCGGGTCTGGACTAAGCTCGTGGATGGGCTCCAGAACAAATGCCCCAAACTAAATCTGTCTTTTTGATGAGACAGCCATCTCAAGTTGGACCCGGCCGCGTGGGTAGAAGAGAGAGGCCGTCTTCGGTTCGCGTGTCTAGGCAAAGTAAATCGGGTGGCGTGGCGTCAGGGTTCCGTCAAATCGTTTACGGCCGATTCAGCCATATCTCCTAAGCGAGACTCCCGCCCCCGCAGCGCGGGTCCAGGGCTACCATAGGTTGAACTGTCCGCCTCCCCGAGGCCGGGCAAGGAGCAGCAGTAACAGCAGTGGATGTCACCGGTATGCAGCTTGTGGTGTTCCGGCGCTGCGATGCGGTGCACCGCTGTGCAGCTGCGGGGTGGCATGATTCTTCCGTATTTATGTGGTGTCAGGCAAATGGCAGAGTATCTGAATGGCCCAGAAATACTTTGGTCTGCATTTGGCCGGGTCGCTGCGTTGTCGACACGGGCTGTCCCTGGGGTTACCATGTAGGTGGTGTAAGTTCGAGGCAACTTGTATCCGTACTCAGTGCGCATGTCAACAAGCAACCTAAGAGATGGCGTAGAAGCACGCATGGAACATTGACGTTTCCGCACAAGAGACCAATGGCGAGGGGTGAAGAGGAACCCCTTGCCCCTTCGGCCGAGATGGTACGTGTGAAAGCAAACAAGCGTCCTGTGTAGCCGTCCGTGGCGGAATTGTCTCCACGGAGTACGTAAGTATCCGCAGTTTGGGGGCAGAAACAGAGCACACTTACTATGGTACGGATAGGTAACCGTACCTCCGTAGAGTAGCACGGTAGGTCAGAAGCATCGGGTCAAAGCAGCCCAAACATGGCACCTTGTGGTTGTCGAAGGCAGTCTGGCAGGCGTGGCAGGTCTGGCGTTTTTGTTGGTCAGACTTTGCGGGCGGCGATGTCTGACCGCCTCGTACATTGGCATTGATGATACGGATACAATTGTGCCGTCGCTGCTTTCGTCTCACGCGGGCGTTTATCCCAGCGAGCTGGTTCGGCTTTGGGAGTTCCCTGTTTGCCTTGGACCAGATCCTTGGGGAGACCTTGAAGAGACCTTGGCAGAGGCGTTTCTTGCCTTCTCCTCTGCGCGTTAGACACCTAAACGCCCGTCCCAATGCTTCTCGAACAAGAAAAAAAGCATTGTCGTGACCGCTGGGTTGGGATTGAGGAGAATACGAAGTAGAGGAGGGGGCCCAGATGTGATTGCGGCCGTAAGATGGAAGTGGGGAGCAGAGCAGACCATTTTCCCAAAAAAGAAGCCATTTTGAGGAGCTGGAAGTTGGAAGGAGTTTGGAACCGACGCGAACATCAGGCTGGACAAGCGTATACATGCGTTGCTTCCCAGGACGTGTGTATCGGCGTAATTCATCAATTCAACCGTCCGTACGAATAGCTCCTTCTGCCTTGCTTGCTGTTGCTGGTTCCTACTAATGCCGGTAGTCATCAACGACGGCCTCTGCTCTTGCTCTCGCTCTTGCTCCTGCCCCATACGGATACATCGTGAGGTGGATTGGCTCAGGAGGCCGAGGCATCTGGTGAGGAAAGGACACAGGGGGAGTTTCGGGAAGTCGGTCCTTCCAGCGCTGTTTCCACGGGCTTGGACCCAGGCCTTACCCAAGGTAAGGTGCCCAGGTACACCGTACGGGTCGTTCCAGATCGCTACTTACATAAGTTAACCTCGCGACCGCTCACGTTTGGTTGGTGCTTGTACTGGAGAAGACGGGACGAGATGTGCAGCGCGCTTGCCTCACCCCGGTGCTTGGGCTCTCGTTGAATTCTCGAGTTCGTCTCTCATCCCCGCAGCGCCTGGGCCTCACTGCGCCCAGAGGGCACGTCCCGTTTCCCCCGACAAATCTCAACAGTGCCTTGAGATATCCGTACGGATACACAGTATGGATACGGATACCTAGTCTGAATGAATAAAATGGAAAAGAAAAAAAAACCACCTCCCCCTTGACTGAATGAGAAGAGTGGTCCTTACCAAATCCCAGGCCCCTGTCATCCCTGTCCGCCCAACGTGAAATCCACCCAGCCGTCCATGGATCCAACAGTGCAATCCCCGTTTCGGTGCCGAGAACACCAGCGCAAAAGGAAGTGGCTAGCGCAGGGCACCCAAATACGTGGGACAGTCTATCGGTATCCGTAGGTACTGAAAACGGGGTTAAGGATACCGTACGTTCAGTGTCCAGAGGGGGGGGAAAACCAACGGTGACAAGGCCTAAAAATGAAGGCATATTGCGTAAGAATAAGAAAGAATAAACAGCGCTAGAAGAAGAGGAAGAAGCTACAGCTAGCTCTTGCTCAGGAGCAAGGGGAACTCTACGGGTCCGTGAGACCGCCCGCTCGTTGGCGGTCCAGATCGACTCACATCCAATCTGACATGTGCTGACAACGAAAAAGAGCGGTAAGGCATCTGACGGACAAACAGGAAGCGAGCAACGGCAGGAACAGGTTTGCCCGCGCATCCTTCCTGTTGGTATCGGACTTTTCATCCTTTCTCACCTAACCCTTACCTTACTTCGCCTCATCAATGCTGCCAATCTACCCTCCTGCTCGGGTTTGTGGAACGTCGGTTGCTATTTGAGGGTTTTGATCCTGGGGTCGGGGATGAACTGCTGGGATTGTTCGTCGACCTGGGGCCGGGAATAACACCGCCCGAGGGTCGAGGGAGGCGTAACGGGTGGGAAGTCGCATTGCAACTTGCAAGTGAGCCTCACTTAAATAAATTTAGAGATTTGTTTGGATGAGAGGCATCCGTGTGGTTAAGAACACTTGAGTCTTAGGCGGCAAGGGACGGAGGACGTACGGAGCATTGCCTAGTGCAGAACAAACCGTCTCATTACGACACCGTGAATGCATCCATACTATTTCTCCTCTCCAGAATCATTGTTAGATGCTCAGCCTTGAACCAGCCTTTGCGCGCGTACTGAGGGGAAACAGGAGGCAGGAGCATCATGTCGGAGTTTACGTTCCAGGCTACAGGGAGGGCTTGGTGCTGCGGTTGCAGCAGCAGCAATGTAGTAACCCCCTTGGGACTATCTGAGAGGATTAGATACGCCGTACGTCTGCCGGCCTCCGACGATGCCGACGATGCTGGTCTTTGCCCGCGTTGTATTTTGATTAAGTCGGGCATCGTGACAAGCCCCCCCCCCCTCGATGGCAAGACAAGGTAAATGATAAGGTACGACAGATGCACGTTGTAGGAAGCAAATGAAAAACAGGTGCAACCACCCGCATTTAGCCTTCATCGAGAGAGGCGTGCGGTACCTGACGTTTGATCCCTGGGCCACGCGCTTTTCCTTCCTCCCTCGTGCTCCTCACGCACACGAATATGTAGGGTGTTTTTTCTTTTTTGGGGGCACTAGGTCCGGCATCTCGTTCCATTGGCCTAGCGTCAACTCGAAAGGGGGGGTGCCAAGTTGGATTTTCCAATGAGAGATGCCTCACTTTAGGCTTCTCCCCTCCTTTCCCTCCGATGGAGTGCCCAATCCCGTGGCTTCTTACACCCACAGGCTGGGGGGAACCAAGCCACGCGAATCCTGCTAGGCTCTCTCTCTCGTCAGATCGTGAACATGGGGTTTTATATTCCTTGATGTTGTTGTTGTTGTTGTTGTTGTTGTTGGTGGTGTTGCGTGGACGGATATTAGCCAGGCCAGACCCCGACCAGGCCAGCAAAAGATGTCGCGAAAGCTCGGATGATGGACAGGCTAGACATCAGCAGCAGCAGCAGCAGCAGCAGCAGCAGCAAGAGATAGGAGGAGGAGGCACTCGGAGAACTTCAATGAGCCCACATGTTCTCTTCCTCTTTTGTTCGTTACGGGGGATTCCCGTATCTCCTGCACCTGCGTATTATATAGCATCGGACCCGTTACGGAGTGGAGGACGTACACGGTACCGTACCTCTGTCCCTATTGTCAGAGAACGAGAGGAGGATGGGAGACGGATGACTACGGGGCGCTGGGGAAAGCGTCCTTTGCATCGGGCTGGCTTTTGCGGCTTGGCCCACAGAGATTGCACTTATATCCGCGACCCGGTGCGGGAAGGTAAAAGAAGGAAAGGAAGGCCCGTCCGCTAAGCCAGTTCGGGACCGTCTTGCTATCAAGATGTGGCCCCCCTTCGACGATAGGTACGTGGTGCACAACATACCGCAGGTTTGGACCAGAGATCCGTAATTCCGTACTCTGTATCCGTACTGATGACAAGAGTAGTCGCTGTTGGTTTTCTTTTTCTTTGGGTATCCGTAGCTTCTCCCCTTTCTCTAATTGCACCGAGTCGATCCAGATTTCCTAGCCCACAAATGAGATTTAACCAACGGGTACGTCGCTTGTGACTTGCGAAAAAGTGTTAGCCAATTGACGAACCGTTTCGACGTTCTTGATCCGAGGTTCTGGTTGCCGGATTT